CTTACCGGAACCGCTCCCATATATATATATATATATATATATATATATATATATATATATATATATATATATATATATATATATATATATATAGGGTCGGTTTCTAATGAGAAGAAATCTTAACGTGAGAAGTGAGAAGTTACACATTTACCTATTTCTGATGCACTTTTTTGCTTATCTGATGCACTTTTTGCGATGACAGAAAAGTTCCGATTAATTACGGAAATGTCACCGCGTCTAGCATCACTTTTTTAATATTTTGTGCACTTTACCGTGCACTTTTTTGCTAATCTTATGCACAGATCATAAATTGAACGCACCAGATGCATTCTCACTTCTTACGATAAGCACTCTCCTCTACCGACTATTGCCTGCAATTTCACCCACAGATAAATTAGATAATACATATTTAAATAAATAGATTGATTGTTTCATTGTTAATAATAATAATAATTTCGAAAATTAAATGAATTGTAACCATAACTAGTAACTACTAAGCTTTAATGTTAGAGAAATAATACTAAGCTTTAATGTTAGAGAAATAAAAAAAAAAAACTGAAAAAGAGCAAAGGTCTAAAGAGGAGTTCATACCCATTTGCTGATTTGCGGCTGAGAAGATAAGAACAGGAGCAGATTTTGATTTTTAAGAATAGGATTTAGGGATTTCAAATAGGTGTAAATGGCAGCTGTTTTGATTAAAATTATTAGTCTACAACGGGTCCAGTCAACCAAAGAAAAAAAAATAAAAGGCCCTTTCACATGGCCCATATATGCTAGCCGAGAAGTTTAAAAAAAATTGGGTGTAGCCTTAGGGGGTTCAAACCTCTGACCTGTAGCCTAATAAAGCTTCTAAATTTTATGCTACTAAGATGTAGGCTAGTGAAACTTTTTGAGATGAAGCCTGTACTTACCCTCTTTATACCGTAGGTCCGCCCCTATATATATATATATATATATATATATATATATATATATATATATATATATATATATATATATATATATATATATATATATATATATATATATATATATATATATATATTATATATATATATATGTATATGTATATATATAGGGATTGGTTCCTATGAGAAAGGAGCTTCGAGAGAGAAATAAGAATAAAATCTAACCTTTGATTAATTGAATCGGATGGCTATTATTTAATCTTAGTTATCTCTTTCCTCCATAATTATTGCCTAACGTGTGTGATTAATTAAAATGGTAAGAATGAACCATGATAATTAATTAAGGGCACAAATGTAAAGTTCATACAAGTGGTTGACAACAAAGTCACGCATAAACCACTAACTTTGGAAGTCATCCTATAAAATAGGATAACTAATAGCTTCTCATTATTAGGATCATTTATACTATTAAATGTTTCGTTAATTTCTTTCCATTTTAACATTCTATCACACAAAATTTAGATAAGTTATTTAAAAATATATTTATATGAATTTGTGCATCTATTTTTACAGCAAAGTATACAATTTGTCATTGCAATTCTATTCGGATTATGATGCACATTTCCTATTAACATAATGCACTTCTTCAAAAATTTAAAGAAGGGAGTCATATATTAATTGTGCATCCTTAAAAGAATACAGGTGCATTATATTTAAAAGTTTTGCAATTAATTCAAAACTTTGTATGAAGTTAAGATATGTGCATCTTATGTTTAAATTTTATTCCCGAAATTCAACACTAATTTTGATCCAATTGCACATTCGAAGCACTAAAATTGTATATTTGTTTTATTTCAAATTATTTACATTATTTTATTGGTAAAAGTGTTTATTATATTATTTGTTGCAATTACTATACATTTATCTCATGGTGCACATTTTATGTTAAAAGGATGCACGAAGTTTAGTTTCCACACCGGCACTCTTTTTTTTAAATAAAATGCACTTTATAGTGTGCATTGTACATAGGTACAAAAAATGAAAACGGGTTTGAAAAAGTGTGATTGAATCAAATAATTGGATAAAGAAATATATTTTTCATTGGCTAAGAAAATAAAAAACAATTTTATAAACAATTGCTATGAAGAATCGGAAAGCAATAAAAAAGCATTAAGACACTTGGCCATGAGAGATTGTAGGAGACATTTATGGAAATAATGGATTAGCATTAACGTGATAGCAAAAATCTCTTATTTTACATTAATGAGAGAGACACAACATAGTAAAATATTTCAAGATCGGATGGCTATTATTCATTCTCATTTTTCTCCTAAGATTATATTCTCACATGAACCTAAATATATATATATATATATATATATATATATATATATATATATATATATATATATATATATATATATATATATATATATATATATCAGAGATCAAATACAAACCATGCTTAAAATACTAACCTACAAACTCCATAATATGCATAACTTTGAACTTCAATATGCAGTAAAAATAATGTAAAGATGCAGGGGTGAGATCACATACAAACTAGTCCTCACATTCAAATCATCTTTGCATTATTTGAATTGCACATTGAAGTTCAAAGTGTTTCATATTATTCAAGCCATAAAATAGCAATTTCATGTTTACATTATTTGTATTGCATATTGAAATTCAAAGAGTGCATCTTTACATTATTTGTACTGCATATTAAAGTTCAAAGTGTTGCATATTATTGAGTTTGTAGGTTAGTAAGTTAAGCATGGTTTGTATGTGATCTCACCCCTATATATATATATATATATATATATGGTCGGGTTCTAATGAGAAGACATTTTAACGTGAGAAGTGAGAATTTACACATTTACCTATTTCTGATGCACTTTTTTGCTAATCTCATGCACTTTTGCGATGGCAGAAAAGTTCCGATTAATTACGGAAATTCCACCGCGTCTAGCATCGCTTTTTAAATATTTTTTGCACTTTCCCATGCACTTTTTTGCTAATCTGATGCACAGATCTTAAAATGAACGCACCTGATGCATTCTCACTTCTTACGATAAGCATTCTTTTCATTTGATCCTTATTCTATATATATACATGGTTTTGGATCAAATAAAAACATTTCTTAACGTGAAAACTACAAACCGTTCACTTTTATCCGAATGTGATGCACGTTAAGGGTGATCTGTTGCACTTTTTGAACTTCAGTCGAACAATGCTAAATTAAAAAAATGCGGAGACATTTTCGTAAATAAGTCAAAGTTTCCTGTCAATGCAAAAAAGTGCAACACAGAAACGTAATAGTGCATCACAACTGTGGAAAAAGTGGACGGTTTGCAGTTTTCACGATAAGAATGGTTTTTATTTGATCCATACCCATATATGTATATATATACATGTGTGTGTGTGTGGCCATTATAATACTCCATAGAATAAGGTTCAAATGAAAACATGATCTAAGAGAATTAAGAATGAAAGTTGACTATTACGTGAAATTCAATGTGCATTAGGTGAAACTGAAATGTGCATTAGGTGAAATTGAAATGTGCAAAATAAATGATATTATATACACTGGCATTATGTGAAGTTGAATTGTGAATTACTTGAAACTGAAATGTGAATTAGGTGAGACTCAAATGTGCAAAATAAAAGGTATGATGCGATGCCATTTTGTATCTTTTATTCTGCACATTTCAATATTACCTAATGTACATTTGAGTTTTACCTTTTCATTCTGCAAATTTTAAAATCATAATGTCATTGTCAGTTTAGTAATCCAAAAGCTTTCCGATAACTTTTCTGAAAGAAAAAAAAATCAGCGGGTTTTTGTTATGACTGTCGGCGGTTGTTTTCGAAGGCAACAGTGAGACAAGGTGGGGTGGGTAATTGAGTAGGAATTATAGTTAAAAGAAATCTGTATTAATTATAAATGTTAGTCACATTTTTGAAAAAATTAAAACTAGTCATAATGTCATCTTCATTCTTCACGACTTTTTCAGAGAAATGTTGTATTTTTTAAACAAGGTGACATTTTTTCAACGGTTGGAGGTGGCAGTGACGGGAGGTGAGACAGGTCTGCATAACATTTTTATGTTTCATGTATTTTATTTATTTATTTATTTTTAAAGTTTTTTATATTTTGATATTTTATTCATTATTTTTTACGTTTTTGTTATCAATAAAATGTGATTTTCTTATTGAGGTAAAAAGGTGAAAGTTGAAGATTAAAACTCACCAAATTAACTTTTCCGACTAATTTGAGAGTTTGAGGTCGATAAATAACATTTTTGGAATTAGCTCATCTTATTTGTACTTCATTATTGTTAAGTATCATCCGTTGACACTTGAGAGCAAGCTAGATTTGGAGGTATTTTTTAGAAATATTATCCGAAATATGACTAAAACAATTTGAAAATTCGAAAATAGGACTGCCATTTTTTTATTCCCAAAATAGGACTAATTACTGCCATATTTTGGCAGTACCAGACTTCAAACATATCAGTATTTTCTAAACATGACAGTAATTAGTCCTATTTTGGGAATAAAAAACATGACAGTCCTATTTTGGAATTTTGAAACTGTTTTAGTCCTATTTCGGGAACTTTCCCTATTTTTTATGATGTCAGAAATGGAAGTATTGTGATGTCCGTTACATTTTCGAGTTATAAATTAAGAGCCCGTTTGGTAACACTAAAATTGGCTGAATTGACTGATTCTGCTGAAATTTATGAAGTTCTGGCTGAAGTGGTAGTATTGGCTGATTCTGGTGATTCATGAAAAAATTATATTTAAAATATATTTTATTAATAAATAAAATAAAAATATATATGAAAAAATATCTAAAATGATCCTCTACAGTATCTTCAACCAATACAGCCAGCTGGAAAGTAATTCCAAATTTCCAACCTTACTTTTTTTGCTTATTACACAATTCAGCGCGCGAAATCAAAAGTTACACGTTTGGTGAAAAAGTTTAGAGAATTATTTACCTCCCATCAATATATTTGTCTATATATAGCAAGCGGCCTTATTTATGCTTTGCATCATCATATCATAACTCACTACAATAAGCTTCATTGCAACGCCATCCTGTCATCTTCATTACCTACAGAGGCAAAATGCAGCCCATAGTTTGCTATAACAATAACTTATTACACCTCCATAGTTCTCACAGCCAGTTAAACTCCCGGTAGGGGCGGCAACGGCAGCAACGACCCAAGTGTCAATGCCACCAAGTCGCCATGTATCAAGAGCGATCTCAATTCCCACCACAACTATAGCCCCAATGCCTGAAGGGCTAGACAGCCCGGAGTTGTTAGATGACCGAGTGACCGCTTTCCGGAACTATCAATCTTTGTTCGTGTCACAACGGTCCGAAGCCAATGAACCCGTCGCCCTCCGAGTGGTGGAAGGCGCGATACCATCCGACTTTCCATCCGAGACCTATTATTTGACCGGGCCGAGCCTATTCACGAATGACCACGGCTCGACCGTGCATCCGCTAGACAAGCACGGTTACCTTAGGGCGTTTCAAATAGATAAGTTCACGGGCCGAGTCACATTCAGGTCGCAGTATATTCAGATAGAGGCGCATGAAGAAGAGCGAGATTTGGAAATGGGCCAGTGGCGGTTCAACCACAGGGGGCCCGTTTTCGGTTCTAAAAGGAGAGAAAATGATTAGAAATACCAAGGTGATGAAAAATGTGGCCAACACTAGTGTTATGGAGTGGGGTGGGAGGTTGTTCGCAAATTATACCGTGGTATCGGCCCACCGTGCGCAAGGTGTGCCGATCCCAAACGACGTCGTTTTAGTGATTAAAGACAAGGATAAATTGATCGCAGCCGCTATAGGACCCATCTCTGGCCATCGACAGACGACACTACAGGTAAGTTTTCTTCTTATTTCTCCTCCTCCTCCATTTTAAAATTGAAAGCAAATTCTTTTAATTTGATTTATTATTATTCCAATTCAGATTAATCTGAACTTTTCCATTCTCCTGGATGTTGATTTCACAAGTTAGATCTCATTGTTCCCAAGTTACATTTGAATAAGTTAAAGTTACATTCACAAATCAGATTTGACTTGTTCCCAAATTACATTTGAATCAAAACAGCTTAAATTTCAATGAATTACATTTGAATGAGTGTAATTTACATCTTAATAAACTTGAAGTTACATGTAAATTAACATAATTTACATTACATATAACCTTGGGAGCAGGATGCTCGCCTTGCATTGCTCTCACGGTATAGCAACTCGAGATTGTTTTGTTTGTGGGAAGGTGGCGATCCTTACGAGATTGATTCTTCTAGTCTTCAAACTATCGGCAAGTTGAAACTGGACAAGGATAACACTAATTCCCCTGCCCATAAAACTCCTAAGCCGCATATGGCAAATTTCTGGGACGTAGCTGCCCAAATCTTGAAGCCAATTCTTTATGGTACGTATATTGAAATTTTTTTGTTGTCTTAATTTTATTACTAGTTTCTAGTTATAGCAATTAATTTGTCGCTCTGTTCATTTCTCTCTTTTCTACACAAAGTTCAACTACGTAACTTTTACTCTTTTTTTATTTCTCGCCTACTTTGTAATTAGCAAAGTCCACCGGAATCAGTGGCGGAACCAGAACAAAAATTGAGGAGGGGCGAAAAAAAATCAAATCATCGAGTTGGAAAGATATATAATCTCTACTATATTCTTTTTTATTTATTTATATAGATTAATTTGATCTCAAATTGAATGCAGAAGAAATATTTTCATTTTCATGAAGTGACTCTTTATTTAGACCTATATACACAAGCGCACACATACACATACATATATATACAATCACATATATTTCCATCTATATTTGTTTTCTAGTGCCCAAACAAAACAATAGACTTTCTCTTAACACGTGAGTTTATTTCGATTTAAAATGCTTATCATTTTATTTTAAAGTTTTGTTTAAATTTCGATTTAATACGCTCGTTTTAAATATCAAGGTTTAAATAGAAATATAGCTAAACAAATAGAGGAAGATAAATTAAAACTCCCATACGGAGTATATGTAAGTTACTAACTTATCAAGAAAATAATAATTTTGTTTTACTCTTTTCAATTTAACGTTGTTTCTAGGTTATTTGTTTTTTAAAATGATATTAATTGTTTTATTTATGCAAATTTATTAAATAAATTTAATTATACACATATAATTAAAGTCGCATATATCAAATATTAACAAGAAGTTTTGGAATATTTGTATTAAAGCAAAGAATAAATAGTTATGTTAAGTTAAAACTTTATAGTCATTGCACTAAACAGAAAATGTAAATAACATGTCAATATTCGAAAAAGTAAAAAAAGTTAAATATTATAAATTGGAAAAATAAAAATGTATAATAAAAGTAAAAGAAATGTAGTGCGATAGGAAAAAATTAAAGGGGAAAATAATTAAAATACCCCAAACTTTGAAGGGGTGTGAGATAAACACCCCAAACTTGCATATGTAATTTAAATACCCAAACTTTATATAAAAGTTATTTTAGCACCATCTTCATGTATTATTTCTTTCAAAAATATTAATTTTTGGTGTTTATTTCATAATTTGATAATTTTTAGTATTCATAAAGATACAATTAACATTCTAAACTTCCATAGTAAAATAAATAGTATTACCCACCACTATATATAATTCTAATGTTTTCAATTTTCTATTTTAAATTATGCATTTAACACCATATATTTACATTTTTGAAAGAAATCATACATAACCATGGTGTTAAAATAACTTTTTATATAAAGTTTGGGGTATTTAAATTAGATATGAAAGTTCGGGGTGTTTATCTCACATCCCATCAAACTTTGGGGTATTTTAATTATTTTTTCCAAAATTAAAACTAAAACAGTCACAAAAGAAGAGGAGGTTTAAACAATTAAAAGACTCCAGGCGCCAGAGGGACTCGAACCCGGGTTTGTAAGAAAACTAAAGTGAAGTTCTACCATCTCTGCTACCTAAACTATTGTTTACAAAACAGGTCGGTGTATATTTATTACATTACTTTGAGACGGGGTTGTACGCCTGTACATACATATATACATATATATACACCACCATCTCCGGCGAACGGGGGGCGGCAGCACCGGCTCGCCCCCCCTAGTTCCGCCACTGACCGGAATGGAGGTAAGCGAGATAATATACTCCGTACCTCTTAAGGTTATTTATGTATATCGATATTAATCTCGGTTTAATACAAATGTCTCTCTCAGGACACTATCTCCTAGAGAATAATTATTACTCTTATTCAAAATTTTAGAATTTTATCGATCTAAGACTCGAAAGATAGATGAATTATGAATCTAGGATCTGAAAGATGAAATATGTCGATGGGGTCTGGATGATTGAAAATTATCCATCTAGGACAAAAAATTCCATAGATTTTGATTTGATTTGTTGTGTAGGAGGATTTAAAATGAGTGAGAAGAGTTTTTTGTCAGATTACAAGATGGATGGAATTAGAAACCCACGTATCATAATAATCTTCCTAAATACAAAACGCAGTGGAAGATTATTAGAAGAATTTCCCGCCCAAATGCAATGCCAAAAATGGGTCAAATGGGTTAAACGGGTAGGGAACTGCCTCAGTGTACAATTCAAAACTTGCATCTAATGTTTTCTTGCTTTATGCATCGAAACTGCAGTATGGGTCACTGACATAGTATTAATTATAGTAGCAAGATGTCTTTTCAAATCTTTTTTGGAACATTAAATGCCAAAGCACTAATGGTTTGCACCGGTGCATTATGGGTCGCGTGAACTTTTCATTTAATGTTAAATGAATTGTACTTCTCATTTAATATTGGCTGAAAAGTGATTTGATATTGGCCGAGTACAATTGTCCTTTAAAAGGTGTGTTGTAATACCGTAGTACAAATTTGTTGTCATAGCAAGTTATTGACCATTGGTTATTTGGTACATGCAACTATTCAAAGCAGCTCTAAGATCATAGTATAAATATGTCCAATTTCATTACATGTGCCTCCCAGAGTTGCACATCATACCAATGGAGTTAAGAGTGGGAGTTGCTATGAGGTTTGACCGTATTTTAGGAGATAAGAGACATTAGACGTAATTTTCCAGTATGAAGAGGTATGTTGTCATTATTATGTGCTTAATCTCAAGGTAAGACTCAATCTCAATTATCAGTTATTAACATTCATGTGGATCGTTGCGCTTATCGCTACACTAGAAGCGATCGCTGATAGTGTAGCACGCTCCTCCCCATTTATAGCACAAGCGAAGCGCCACGCGGTTCGATTGCACCGGCAGGCTGACAGATTGATGGCACCGCATGCCCACGGTCCTACAATGTCCCCCAGCACCTGCCAACCTCAACTGCGCAACATGTTGTTGCCGGGGGTCGAACCCGTGACCTTGGCTCTGATACCACTTGTGGATCATTACGCTTACCGCTACACTAAAAGCAATCACCGATAGTGTAGCACGCTACTCCCCATTTATAGCACAAGCGAAGCGCCACACGATTCGATTGCACCGACAAGCTGCATATTGCTGGCACCGCATACCCGCGGCCCAACAATTCCTATTATTTTGTATGCTTTGTAACAGTTTTAAAAACACAGCTGTTATTGGCATGACCGTGGGAAAGCATGTTTCTCAAACAAATAAAATTAATGGCATCAATCGAAAGTGTATGATTTCTATCAGCCAAATTCTATCAGCAACCAACAAAAAGTAATTGAATTGAGAGGGACAATTGTAGGTGCCACTGAAGTTCGTACGCATCAAATTTATACGTAGTACGGAGTAGTTTTAAAAAGATCAATCACATGTATAACATAGATTACACTTTTAGACACATCACCACATAAATCCATTGATTTAAAAGAGTATTTTTAAACATTATTTATATTTATGAATAAAAGCATATACTTAGATAGTATGGTTAGAGATTTATAGATAATTATTATTACTCATTTAACATTTATTTAAAACAAAGTTTTTAAAACATGGGTATAGGGTAAATAATAAATCTGGAGCATTTTCTACTTCTAGGCAGAGTGCTTTTATGACCAAACATTAAATCACCTTTTTAAAAGCTTTTATAAAAACAAATATAGCACACGGTTCTTTTAAAATAACATAGAAATTAATGTTTTTAAAAATTATTAGAGGCTGACCAACCATTAGGCAGAGGGGTATTGGGATTGATCAAAACCGCCCTTAGCAGTTTAAATTACTCATAAGTAAGAAAATGAGCATCAACAATAGGTCCCAAGGCATTGTAGTTAGGTATCACTTAGATATTAGGAGGCTCAAATAATTTTCATATTCAAATCATAAACAAGTAAATGAGTATTAGAGGGTATTCATGCTAAGTAGTTTCAAACAGTTTAATATACATATATACATGTTTTCTCAAATACATATACACATTTAAATGTTAGTAGATAAATAATTAGTTCAAATATATGAAGAGTATATCTTGGTGACATAATTGATAACTGTGTAATAGATAATGATCATACCTGAAGATTTTAGATGTGCAATCACAGTTTTGGTTACTTATTTTTAAATCAACATAACCATATCAACGAGGCAATTTTAATGTGTGACATTGTTTGACAATAAATCTCATTATTTAGAGATTAAAATGTGTATTTGTCACTCTGTCAAACGAATTACTTTACCGACTCAATTTAAAAATAAAACCTCGCCATCTGTAATTAACCACAGATCTGATATTCCGAAAAATCCGTCCTCGATAGTAAAGTTACAAACACATTTACAACGGTTCGTAAAATGAGTCAAGATAGTTTCGTAACAAATCCAATTCAAAACGTACATGCTTTCCATAAAGTTCTGGGGAGAAGGGAGAGTTCTGGAGACCATCAGTGTAACCGACGACGAGTCTCCAGAAGTATGTACGGATATTTCAAGCGGCGCTGAACATAGATAGGTTTATATTAGACCTGGACAAAACCGGGACGGCCCGCCCAGCCCGCCCGCACAAATGGGCGGGCTTGGGCATATATATTTACCCACTGGCCCGGCCCGAGCCTGGCCCGCAATAAGATATGGGCGGGCTTGGGTTAAGGTGTAGGCCCGTTCGGGCCGATAAACCCGGTCCGCTACATTCAGTATATATAAATATATATATTTATATATATACTAATTTATTTTTTTATACATATTTATTAGTTTATTATGTTTAAATTTAAATTTTTAGTTCTTAACAACTAGCCCAACCAATATAATATCTATTTTTGTACTTAAAGATAATACTTTGTGCTTAAATTTTAAATTTTAGATATAGTTTCTCGTTATTATTTTTGTGTAAGTATTTTTTTGTATGTGGTGAAAGACGTATAAACATTATAAGCGTATTAATTATTTTCCAAATATTGTAATATTATTTTTAAAGTATTTAAAAAATCATATAATTTTGAAAAAATTAAAGTATTCCTGGGCCGGGCGGCCCGGTGGACTACCTGGCTCGCTCTTATGGGCGGGTATGGACATAGGGTTAGGCCCGTTTTTGCGGGCCGGGCCGGGCCCGCCCACACATGATGGGCAGAAAATTTATAAAAAGCCCGACCTGAGCCCGATCCGAACCCGTTTTTGTACAGGTCTAGTACTTTATATATTAGGCGGTTGGGTCAGCTAGGTTATGTTGGGTTGTTGTGTTGTTGGCACAAATGGGTTGGATTTGGCTTTTGGGTCCAATTTAGTGAACTTATAATAAATCTGAGTAAGTCATGGGCCTAAGTCATTTTGCTGTTATAATGTTTTGATAATTCTAATAATTTTTCATTATTATTTAATATTATTAATTATAAATATATATTTATTATTTATTTATAATTAATTGTTTTTAAAAGATTCCGTATTCAATGTTATAAAAAGTAGTTTAGAGCAATTAAGTTTCAAAGAAGACAACCTGATGTCATGATCTCTTATATGATTACTATAAGTAACGGTCAAGGTTAATCTTTATCGGATGTTGAACTATTATTAAAATACCGAGTATTAAGGGGTAATTTGAGTTTGCACACCAATTTATTGTCGAATTGGACTTTGCATCCTGTTTTTTAAAAACATTGTTTTGCATCTCAACCCCTTATGAAGATACAAAAATGTCCCTCTATCAGGAATATATTGAAGGCAAACAGAATTGTTAATGGAGGGTCATTTTTGTCTTTTCATATAGGATTGGTGTAAAAACAGATTTTTAAAAACGGAATGCAAAGTCCAATTTGAACAAAAAAATAGGGTACTAAGATTTTTTTGTTTTGGACATCCATTGGCATGTAGTTCTTATTATACTACTTCGTAATTTTAATAATTGAGTTGGTTATGAATTTTTGTATATGAAATGTTTTATATAATTTATATTAATAAATTAGGTATATTTTTACATTACTGAAATAATTTCATTAAAATATATATTATTAATAATTAAACATACAATATTGTTTTGAGATATCATTACATTAATGTTGTGATTGCCAAACATATTTTATTTAGTGAACCCACGTACAATTATATATTTTGATCAATGTTCATTCAATAATTGATAATCGATCAAAAATAAGAATTAAAAAGTACTCCTCCGTTCTGAAAAGGTTCGTCAAATTGTCTTTTAATGATCATACCACCAATGTAGTTTATAAGAAAGTTTTTCGCAATGTGTAAGTTATCACACTACAGATATTGATCTGCAGTGTAGATACCAAGACATTCTATTTTATAACATTTCGTTATTTCTACTTATTCCAGAACAAACTTACTACGTATCTCTGAGTTTTCACTATCTGATCTTTACTTATAGTTTATTATGCATGCTACGTCTATGACAATTTGCATTCATTTCACACGACCATGATGTAATATTTACAAAAAAAATCATATATTGTTATTACATTTTAATATCCCGCACATTGCACGGGTGCGAATCTAGTGTCATGAAACGCAGAAGATATGTTACTCCCGTGCAGTACTTTCACATGATACAGTGAGTGATTTGTTTAGTTTTTTTATTTGAAAAAATGTCATAAATATTATTTCTATCTTATCCTAGGCCTTCACTTTAATCTTTTTTGTCTATTATAAAACTTTCTCATCTTTTTGTATTTTAAAGAAAAGATGGTTATTATTATTTTCATTAATTAATGACGCCACTGGAGAATTCAACTAGAGACCGATTATATATTTAAATTCAGAATTTGATGCCAACATACGAGATCAACTCATGATCCATCATTGGGCTCTCACTGATAATCATTATATTACGAGTCTGTTTGATAACATTTAAATTGGTTGAATTGGCTGAAATTGATGAAGTTCTAGTTGAAGTGGTTGTATTGGCTGATTTTGCTGATTAATGAAAAAATTATATTTAAAATATTTTTATTAAGAAATTAAATAAATAATTATATGAAAAAATAGCTAAAATTATCCTCTACGGTAACTTCAGCCAAAATAGTCAGAAAAGTAACTACAACCTTATTTTTTCTGTTTATTACAAACTTCGGCGCACAAAATAAAAGTTAGACGTTTGATGAAAAAGCTGGTTGATAAGCCTGATAAGCTGAAAAAAGGGGTCACCAAATGGGCTCTGCGTCTTGTTTGGCAATCGCATCAAACTCGATGTTCCAGGTACGTCCGTGCGTGATGCTTCGACAATAACTAGTTCAACCATTCTTGTTATGCACATTTGACTATTTCCACACTTATACACACCGCTTGTGAAGGCCTTTTGTCTCTCACAGACAAAACCAGGGCTGAGCAAAATGGTTTGGTTTGACCGAATCAAACTAAACCGAACCGAAAATTGATGGTTTGTTTTGGTTTGGGTGTACATAAGTAAACCGATTGGTAGCAATTTTCTCAAAACGAATGATTTGGCTTGGTTTAAAATCGAAAAATCGTAAATCGAATCTAACACCGGACAACTTGTAATATAAATACTTTGTATTTTTTCACTCTTTATCTTTAGGATATAAATAAATAATTTAGACATGAAAAATACAAATTTAGCATATATCATTTTAACTTTTACACATTTCATACATTCGGTATGACAAAGTTAGCTAATACGACATATTTGTGTTTGTTATTTTCGTACT